ATCCCTTAACCATGAAATCATACGTTTTCACCGTTTTTCTGAAGAGATCAGTCCGTTAGCCTGGCCATTGGCAAGATAGGTGTGTGGTCATCGAGGTATGATGGAAAGTAAACGAATTTTCATCTTGAGATACCTGTCAAAATCAAAGTTTTTGTCAGTGTTTGTATCTGCGTGTCCCTGCTCAGCGCACGGACCCCGAGCTCAGCTCGAGATTTTGCATTTTTCCAACATTTCTGAGAACGACTGTACATATCTGAGTTTTCTTCATTTAGTCTAAATAAGTGAATTGACAATGACCAGTGACGATACGTCGCAAGCCCCCCCTCTGCATACTCCGGGGGATGCTTCTGCGGTTGGTGGGGCTTATGTCAAGCTAGGCAATCAAATCATTTAGGTTTTATGGGCGATTCAACTCGATTCATCATTCAATCAAGAGAAAAAATAAAACCAGCCTCCGTCTTCTCCTCGTCGTTTCCCCGCCTTGATGATAAATTGCACTTTCCCTACTTGCCCATTAAGTTTGATACGCGAGTACGTATGTATAATATAATGCCCATGTGCAGGCGAGGCACCACGTCGATCAAATTCTGACTCGGGACATCTAAAGTTCGTCTTCCAGAGTTCATTATGTACACGGCAACTCAGGTTTCCACAGATTTGCATGGTCCACTGATATCTGTATAGAACAAAGAAAAATGATGTACAGTCGATCCCAGAAAGGTTGGAAATTTCCAACTTTTCGACTCGGGGTCGGGGTCCGTGCGCGGCGCAGCTGAGCAGAGAGGAGGTGAGTCGAGTTTGGCAGATCTTGCATCTCGTCTTCTTCTAATGACAGCCAACAAGAACGCCATCAAAGATCATCCCAGATGATCTTCGACATCCTCACCCCATACAGCAATGCCCACTCGAAGGATACCAACGATGGCCACCCCTTTTTCTCTTTCTCGTTTCCTATCCATCCATCCTGGAATCCACCGCTCAAATCCACCTCCACTCAAATCATGGGTTTTGTTCACTATTCCGAGGACATCAAGTCCTTAGCCATCCAAATGATTATGGAAGGCCACTCGCGCATTGACATCAACCGAACACTTCGAACATCCATCTCATACAACTCGTTTGCGCGCTGGAGGGACTTGTATGTTCGGACGAACCGCGTAATCGCAGACCCGGCAACTTACAAACCTAGAGGCCAACCACCCGTATTATCTGATGATCATCTCTTGGTGTTGAAAGACATCATCACTCATTCCCCTTCATTATACCTCGATGAGATTCAAAAACGGCTCACCGAAATCACCGGCCTCGATATCTCTAGATCCACGATTTCTCGAGAACTCAAGAAGCGACTGGGATTATCGTTACTTGTCACTCGTGGAGTCCACCAGAATCAATCACTGGCCGAGCGTGTGAGGTTTGTGAGGAAGATAGCGAACATCCCAGCAGAATACTTGGTGTTCATTGGTAAGTACTTGATCCCTTTTTTGGACAACATCCTCACGTACTTACTGATGAGAGCCCTTTTTCCTTGACCTTGATCAGACGAATCCGGTGTTGTTGGGCGAGATGCTACCAGAAAGAAGAGCTGGGCTCCGACTGGCACTCGTACAGTCCGTCAAACGCGGTACCAAGAAAACGACCACTACACCATCCTTCCTGCTGTTTGTGAGCAAGGTATGATCGCGGGCACTGTGGTGAAAGGGCCTGTTGATCGTGTCCATGTGGAGCTATTCCTGGCTCGAAAATTGGTAAGTTCTTCATTTGTAAACTTACAAAATATGCTTTTCGTACTTTCTAACTGATGATATCAATGATGGTATGCCCAGCTTCCGGTAATGAATGCGTACCCAGGGCCTAGGTCTGTTTTAATCTTGGACAACGCCAAGATCCACCACGGAGGCAAGCTTGAGGAGTTATGTAAAGAAAAGGGAATCATGCTGATTTACTTGCCAGCTTATTCACCTGACCTCAATCCGATAGAAAAAGCGTTTAATTGCATGAAGAAGCGACTTCAACGCGAGCAACGCTGGATTTACGAGAACGATAAAGCCAGATACCTGCTGGACGTTGCTGGGAGAGTGATGACTAGGCCGTTGATGCAGCCCCTTATTGTTTCAAGTGGTTATGTCACCCAATACTATTGGGATAGATACAATGCACAGTTCCCGGACTAGCTGGTAAGCCTAAGTGATGCACTCCGTTCCGATTCAATGTGGATTGACGTGGATGGCCTTTGACTTTTCAATATCTGGCAGAAACCTGAATTCCTCGAAAGCCAGGATCCTGTTGATGGGTCCTTTTCAAAAGCGAAGAATTTTTCTATTTTTATTTCATATAGCAAAGTTTTCAATCTTTACTTTGTGTCTAAACCTGAGCCGAGAATAGCTTCAACAGATTAATGTTATTACAAAATAAGTCGTATGAAATTTGAGCCGAGATTTGCCTAAACAGATTGTTGTTATTACAAAATAAGTCATATGAAATTGTTGTTAAGAAGGCTATTGTAGCTAGCAAGGCCAAATAAAATCTATGTTTTTTTAAATGTGCCTTGTTGAGTCCAATTAAAATATATCTTTTTGTCTATGTGCCTCGTTGAGACTTCTGCCCCCAAACACTCACGTGACATAATTTTGCGAGTTTAAAAACTTGCCTTTTTTTGGGTCAAATGACTTTTCATTAAGTGTATTGAAATGGAAAACATAAGTTCGTATCTTTTGAAAACACAAACACCACGTGACGCTGACATCAACTTAATTTCAGCAAGTTGATGTCAACTTTTGGTGGAAACTGTCGCATATCGAAGCCAGTTTTTAGACATTGGTTTCTTTTAACAAACGCATGGTCAGGGAATTCTTGTTTCCTACTTCACATTCTTGTTTGCTAAAGAATCAAAGCACGCTTGTTGAAAATCAAATCAAATAATCATGTTTTTATTTCGAGGCGAACAATTTAGAAAGTACTTTATTAATTCTTTCATACGAACATGACAATTTGAAAGATATATGGGGAACAAGGGGTCTTCTTCATGTTTGATCAACAAGCAATAGGTTGGTAAGCGAGTTACAAAGATTTTGGGGGGGAAGGCTGTATAACCAAAGTCACGAACAACACGTTTAGGTAATCAATTTGGTGGAGTCACGAAAACTAAGCATCTAATCTAGAATACCATGCTGGAATCGAAAGGCGACTTCGGGTTGTTGATTTCGTCGTTGATTAGGTGTTGATAGAACCTGCGGGCACAGTTCATGAGGCGCATCGCAGTTCCACGTTTGATACCCATACGTACCAAGTCTTCTAAGCCGGTTTCTTCAGGGTATAGAAAGGCGTCGAAGCGGTCTATGTCGTTTTCTAATAGGATCCTACATGCCTCGTCACTGCTCTGGACTCTGACAGCGCAAAAGCCCATGTAATCTTCCATGGTCGCGTAGCACCGAATTCGCTCGAGGTCATATATATCAACTACTATCTCGTAGCCTTGTGCTTCGGAAATAGTCCCAATGGTGATGGGTGAAACTGGCTTGCTCATCGGTTTGCTAGTCGTGAGGGGCGTTTGCATAGATACCGGCTTTTTGAGATCAGTCCACTCAAATCCTTCGACCTTGGGGGGTACTTCGAGGGTCACCTCGGCCGGTTTCGCAACCTGTAAACAAGGATATCAGTCTTTGGTCATCAAAGTCAAACATAGATCGAACAACTTACCATTTGCTCAGCCCAAATGCCCAAAAGCTGGAAGTTCATAGGCATGACTTTGGTAACATCGTCATGCTTATAAACTCGCCATCCTTCCGCATTGTTGTTGTTGGCAGTGCTATACTTTAGCATTAATGCTGCCAACGCGGTGTCGACCGGGTCGATAGGGGCAGAGTGAGCTAGGTCAGAATTGGTGGTAGCAACATTGTCGGTAATGTTCTTTGCCTGTAATTGGTGTTGACCAATAGAAAGAAGCTAACAAAGACATAGTACTTTGTCAGCTTCGTAGTTCGCAATGGTCAACATCGAGAGACCTGGACTTACCCGTTCGGCCTCCAATTTTTTCTTACTTGGGTCTTCCATTTCTGTATCAAAGCCTGCAACCTTTTTTGGGTTATTCAAAACCGCTGTGTAAAACAACTGCAAATCGCCGTCGCTATCAATTTCAATCTCTGCCGCTTTGTTGTAGATGTCGTGAGTATTGATATAGGCGTAAATCCGGACCGAGTTGGTAGAATCGGCGGCTTTAAATATGAAACTGTTACCCTCGGAGTTCTTGCCCATTTGGTCAGATAGTTCGAAGAGGCGAGCCTTCAAGTCGGAGAATGAAGTATTGTTCAGATCCATACGAAATTTGCGGGCCTTGAAGGTGTGCTTATACATCTTCGGAGCGCGATTTTTAGCTACCGTGGGTCCTCGAGTCGGATCCACGCCTTGTCGTGAATGAACGACGAACTTGAGCATCATGTCATGCCATTCCTCAGGCTCTTCTTCAGCGTCTTCTTCTGTGAAGAGCAATCATCAGTGACAATCACAATAATAACTTGTAAAGGTAACATACCTTCATCGTCTTTAGGAGTATCATCTAACGGCTCCCAAGGCATGTTAGTGCGGCCGTCGTCGTCGTCGTCGTCTTCGCCAGGGTGGTCAATACTTTGATTAGACATATGGATTGGGGACGGGGCTCCAAAGGATTCGAAAGATTGTCCACGACGGTTGTTGGTGTTGTGGTGAGAACTTTCAGATTCCAAAACAAAAAGTTGTTGAGAATTTTCATGACCCGCGACTTGAGAATCCAAAGATCCAAACGAAAGATTATCAGGATTTTGACGACTGAGTCCTTGATTCATCATGTGAGGAGTGTGAACCAAGTGTGAACCATCAAAGTGGTTACTTGGATTTTCGAAAGAATCCTGAGTCGAACTACGAGTAAGATTATGAATTCCGTCAGATTGATCCGGAAAGCCGTTTCTCGGGGTCGGCGAAGGAGTCATGAAAGCGGTGTTAGAGCCTCGATGGTGGGAAGTGGTAAAGTCCGGAGGAGTCGGAGGTGGGGCACGCTGTTGAGTCCATTGGCACCGGCTGGCCTGATGATAGAACACCTCTTCACCTGGGGTGACCGTACTTGGCCTGGTGATTCGAAGTGATAGTGAATCAGTTCATTAGTCCGGTTTCATGGATTTG